ATTTTTAATGTTTTTACAGGAGTTTCTACTGCTCATCAAGGCTGCATTTATTTGATCAAAAATACAGGAAAAAATATAATATTGTGAAATATTATTATGATGTAAAATAACGTTTTTCTATTTTAATCAGTTAAAATCTAACTTATTCCTGTGATGCAATGCTGAATTTTCAGCATCCTTACTCCAGTCTAAAGTGTCACATGATCCTTCAGAAATCATTCTAATATGCTGATCACAGGAATAAATTATATTTTAAAGGATATTAAAATAGAAACCATTATTTTATATTGTAATAACATTTTGCAAGATTACTGGGTTTTTTTCTGTATTTTTTATCAAATAAATGCAGCCTTGATGAGCAGAAGAGTCTTCTTTAAAAAACATTACAAGTCTTACCGATCCCAAACTTTTGACTGGTAGTGTATATATAAATATACGGAGTACACATACATTTATTTTGTAAACACACTTTTATTTTGGATGCGATTAATTGCAATTAATCAACTTCATAGCACTATTTATTATTGTTGTTAAACAATAACAATATTAGAAGTAATAATAATAACAGTGATAATTATTACTAATAATTAGTAATTATTGTTATTATATTGTTTATAAATTATATTCAGTGTGTATGTATACAGTGTGTATAATGTATTTCTACATTATTTGTTTTCTCTAACTCAACATGAGTGAAAATGAGTTTATGTTAAAGACGTGATGACCATGTTTACCCAGAAGCCCTTGAGCCAACGCTAACACTGCTAACATTGTTCTTTTCGTCTGAACTTCCAGAGAAACCGTTGAAAGATGGGGAAGACACAGCTGACCAGACCCTCTCAGACTCTCTTTTTGCACACTGGGGTCATGACCTCGGCCCAGAGAGCCGCAAGGTGGCTCTGAAAAAGTTCCAGTACTACGGTTACAACGGCTACCTCAGCGACAGACTCTCTCTAGACAGAGCCATCCCAGACCTCAGGCCCGACGGGTGAAACAATCACTCACTACTCACCACCTTCTCGTCTCTCCCTCTTATTAGCATATATATACACAGCCTTTGTTCTTTTACAAACATCGATTTTCCTTTATCATCATGGTCACAGTGAACAAAAGGAATCGCTTAGAAGAAGATTAGATAGGGGAATGTCTTCATAAATCATCAGTTTTTTTTTTTGTTAAAATTTTTTTTAAATAGTCTCCTGCACACAATAGTGTGTCAAAAAAGCCTCAAACAATAAAATAATTTATAATTTTTTAAAATGTATTTTATATCATGCGATTGTTGAAGAAAATTTAATAATAATTCAAGAATAAATGCATATTTACTTTTACATTTTTACAATTTAATATGACAATACAAACTGTATATTACTATATACTGTATATCTATATCTAACTATCTGTCTATCTATCTATCTATCTATCTATCTAAAAAAAAAAACGCATCTGTGGAAACATGTAAATACCACAGAAGCGTTGCCCTGACCTGTGTCTGCACCATGATCTGAGGCAACCATCACACATTGCATAAAGCAAATCTTTCACGGTTGCTGCCATCAATCTGGGAAGAGTGACACGGCAATTTCAAACAATTTGAAGTCCTTCATTCTACAGTGAGGAAGATTATTCACAAGTGGAAGACATTCAAAACAGACACCAATCCTCCCAGGAGTGGATGTCTCAGTAAATTCACCCCAAGATTCAGAGAAATGGCAGACAACCCAAGAACTACACCGCAGACTCTACAGGCCTCAGCTAACATGTGAAATGATAAAGTTCATGACAGTACAACTAGAAAAATATGGGACAAGTATGGCATGTTTGGAAGGCTTGCCAGAAAAAAAACCTCTTCTATCTAAAAAAGCATGGCAGCACGGTTTAGGTTTGCAAAGTTGCATCTAAACAAACCATAAGACTTCTAGAACAATGTATAAGACTTCTAGAACAATGTCTTTTGAACAGATGAGACCAAGGTGGAGATGTCTGGCCATAATGCACAGCAGCACGTTTGGTGAAAACCTAACAAGCATATCAGCACAAACCCCAAAGTATTCTAGAGTCATGTGAGGACATCCGTCCAATGGCTAAAGCTTGGCCAAGATTGGGTGATGCAACAGGACAATGATCCCAAGCACACCAGCAGAACGGCTGAAAAGAAAAGAATCAAGCTTCTGCGATAGCCCAGTCAAAGTCCAGACCTCATCCTGACTGAAATCATGTGGTGAGAGCTGTGCGTAAACAAATGCCCTCAAACCTCGATAAACTGGAGCAACGTTGTAAAGAAGAGTGGGACAAAATTCCTCCAGAACGATGTGAGAGACTGATAAAGTCATACAGAAAATTATTACTTAATCCACTAAAAGTGGATCTACAGGCAACTGAAACATAGGGTGTTTTAACTTCCCGTATGCACAACTAAATGTTTTATGCTTTGGCATCAGAAGAGAGTCATTTCTCTCACAAACATTCTGGTCTAGAAGGAGTCAGTTTAATCAAGCAAATTCTTTTTCTGAAGAGAAATTTACTACCATTTTGCATATTATCTGTCCTAAATGGTATGTGAGATGTGTGAAAAATCATAGTGTCTGAAAGGTGCCCAGATGGTGTAATGTTTCTTGTAGATGTTTTGTAGTATGCTTCCATATATTCTGCTTTGGCTAATATTTACATTTGTGCAAATACATAATATTCTTTATATTAGTCCAAGCATTGCCTGGCAATAAAATAAAAATTAAAATAAATAAATAAATGAAATAATAATTGTGCCATTAGTACATACAGTGTATCATGTACAGTACAGTATAACTGGGTTTGTTAGCTTAATCCACAGCTGCCTTTCTGTAAAATTCATTTATGTTTATTTCTAAGTTCTTCTTTTTACATATTGTCATGTCCATAAGGAGTTTGTTCTCACCTGTCGAATTTAACATTGGAGTTTTTAATACATCATTTTATTTGAATTACAGTACTTTTTCTGTTCACATTAATTGTAGTAGTAGTAGAAAAGGATGTCAAATATATTTTTTACAAAAATATTTTAAATATATGCATAATAAATCATTGTTGATAATATTAATATTTTACAGATTAAATATTGTGATAATATATTAATAATTAATAATATTAAATATAACTTATATATAATATATAATTAATTGTAATCCTTAAGGTAAAAATACAAAATAAAGTGTTAAAGATTTTATTAATTATTTTGTTAATATTTATATTTTACAGATAATATTTTAATGTTATGTAATAATAAATATATAAGATACAATGTAATGTAAGAAAGGTAATAAAAAAATTATATTAAAAATATCAATAATGCATAAAAGTTGTTAGTAATATATCATATTTTATTATATAATAATATCAAATATTTAACACACACTGTCAGTCAGTAATAAATATAGTTTGTTATTAATAACAATGATTTTACAGATATTTAATTTAATATTATTGTAATATTTTTATATATAAAATACACTGTCAATGCAATAAAAATGATCAATTAAAAATAAATGTTTAAAAACAACAAATAATGTATAGTAATATTCTGCTTAATATTTTATTAATATATTATAATATAAAATAAGTACAATACACTTTTACTTAAACTTAAAACCAATAAATAAATATTTTAAAGATTAATTAATTTTAATTAATTAAATTAAATTACTTTAAATTAATTATTTAAATAATTAAAAATTTATTTAATAGTTTCCTTCGGTTTTATAACAAAACTGACAAAAGTAAGACAGATATTTAAATATAGTGTCATTATTTTTTTATAAATAGGTCTGTATACACTGAAATATAATAAAATATTGTGTCCCTGCTCTGGGATAAACGCATTTGTTGGTCCTTGACATCAAAATGTTTGAAAACCCCTGTGTAGACTGGGCTTAAGACTGACTGTTTTCTGCAGATAACTACCGGCTCTGTGCAGTAAAGTACACTACTGAGGTGGGTTCATCTCAGGCCGATCAGAAGCAAAAGTTTTTATTTGCTCTCAGTCACCTCTAGAGTATTTGGTTTTTCCAGAATAATGACTTCACAGCGGTTATGCTACAGTGACCTTTTACTCGGCGTGTGTGGGATATAGTAAGGGGGCAGTGCGGTTAACATGAGGTGCAGAGGTTTGGACGTTTCATTCTCCCACAGATTGACAGTGGCCCCACGTCACACCATCTGGTTGCTATGTTGAGACAGGATGATGGCTTTCTCCCTAATAAAAACAAACAGCACAGGAGACAGATGGGAGGGGAGTAATCACCAGCAGACAGCGGTAGAGGCTCCAGATATCACAGACCGCTGGCAAATATTAGTGTCTGATGTTCTCAGCATTTCAGTTCATGTTAGTAACTCCCTGAGAGTTCGAAGGGGGAGTCTATATAAACAAATTTTGATTAGAATGTAATAAAAGTCAGGTACACGTGTCACTAGGGTCTCCCCGCTTCATTTCTGGTGAGTACTGAAACTTTCTCACCAGGCCAGCAGGGTGATTTAGCAAACAGCTGGTATCAGGTATGAATTTTATATTGCATAAAGAGACTCTTTTCAACTAATCCCTCTTTCGTTCACTTCACTCAAAGCTGAACTGTCAGAAAACCTGCAGAGGTTTGTGGACGAGACCAACCAGCAGCGGCCCGACTTCATTAAAGTGGTTCGGCATAACAAGCAGGAGGGTTTGATTCGCTCTCGGGTCAGCGGCTGGAGGGCTGCAACCGCTCCCGTCGTGGCCCTGTTTGATGCCCATGTGGAGTTCAGCGTTGGATGGTCAGTGACACTTGAATTTTAAGTCATTTTGCTGCCAGTACTGAACGTAAAAGTGCTAGTAGGTTTTTACTTATGTTCTGTAAAGTTTTGATTAGTGGTCGACCGATATATCGCCAAGGCCGATATATCGGCCGATATTTGGCATTTTTTAAATATCGGCCGATAAGTTTTTCTGCCTGGCCGATGTGTTTGAGGCGGGACTTTTATTTTGACGGCGCTGAGAACGGCAGCGCCAGAGCACACAGTGCTCAAATTCTCCCTCTTCATTGTTTGTTGTCGTCGTTTAACAGTTCTGCCTAATACAGGTAGAAGTCTGTTTAATAATCAGATAGAACTGTTGAACAAATTAATTAAAAGGTATACAAAAAGTATTATAACGATTGCTTTTATATTATTAGTAACAGAAAGGCAGACATAATGCTTTCTCGTTTGCCGTCAGCATTCAGCAAATACGCATATCATTTAAACAAACCTTTAAATGACTAATGAACATTTAATTTCACAAACCTTGCAGACTTAGTCGAATCCAGCTGTAAGATCTTGTGAAGTGTGCATTTGTATATTGCCTGATCGCGTGTGCTCTGCGTGACAGTCGATCCGTGCGAATTGAATCCGGACAGGAGGAGAGTTCAGCTTCACTGGAGACGCGCGATCAACTTTAAACTCGTTATTTCAAACTATGCTTATTTATGCGAAAATATTTAAAAATGACTCAAGACTACATTCTGATTTACAATTGACCATTCACAAAGAGCTTGATTGACAGGCGATCTGACCAATCATAATGCCGAATCCACCATCTTGTCCGACAGCTACAGCCGGAAGCTAACAATAAATGAAATTTTTTTACCTATTAGATTGTGTTTTATTAACGCCTACACCTACCCCAACCATAAACAATAATGCAAAAACAGTAATTATTGTTGTACAACGTGACAAAAAACGCGCATGTCCAGGAGCCACAGCTATTTCCCAACCACAAAACAGACAGGAGAGTGGATTAACTTCAGTGGACTTAAACTTAAAAATGGTGTGTTCCGCGGTTGAAATAAAATACGTTCTGATGTTCATTTTGTGCTTTAAGTAAATATGAAAAATACGATCGGTTCACGTGCCGCTTGAACCGAGGCAATACAGCAATCATGAAAGAGCCACAAAACTGTATTTATTGTTTGAATTTCTTTAAAAATGACAAAATTTGAAATCTGAGAGTCCTGAGACCTTGTTTCATACCAGAAGTAACCTACTCTGTGTTGTCTGTTGGTGTGTTGTCAGTTTCCTCTTTGCTCTGCGATGTATTTTTCACTGTGTGAGAACATGATGTGTAGTGTGAGAGCAGCATTGTTTGTCGGAGATAGCAACAGTAACTAAGGAGGGCGGGTCTTTGCAAAGGGTCAATTATATAGTCAGAATAATAACTATATATTCACAATTTACATTTATGTAACTATATTTTTGGATTTAATTCTATTTAATCAGACCTTTAATTATATATTCAGATTAACTGAATTATATTCAGACTATATTGCAACTATACATATATTCATGATTTGCTTTTATATATTCAGTTTTTTGTCTATATATTCAGGCTTGTATGTATATTAGTGCTGTCAAATGATTAATCGCATCCAAAATAAAAGTTGTTGTTTACATAATATATGTGTGTGTATTTATATACACATAATAAATATACACAATACTCACACATATTATGTAAACCAAAAATTATATTTTGGATGCGATTAATCGCAATTAATCGTTTGACAGCACTAATGTATATACAGTATATTGCAACTTTCATGTATATTTTCAGAATTATAAGTGCATATTCAAAATTTACATTTATATATTCAGACTTAAAACTTCAGATTTACTTCTATATATTCATGATTTACATTTTTATATTACAATTTGTATCTGTATATTCAGACTTATAACTGTATATTTGGATTTACATTTATATAGCCAAATTTATAACTATATATTCTGATTTACATTTATATATTCAGATTTCTAAATATATATTCTGATTTACTTATATATATTCTGATTTACCACTATATATTCTGATTTACTTCTATATGTTCAGAATTCTAACTATATATTCTGATTTGGTCGCCGTGATTTTGCCAAGTAAGACATGTTCCTGGATCAACATCTTTTGTTGATCCTGGATCAACATTACTGTCCAAAAATATAGACTAAACCCAATTCCTACCCCTAAACCTAACCCTACCCATAATATATTTCTAAAATCAGCGTGGAATGATAGCTGATTAATAAGGGTGTAGAAGCACCTAACCCTGATCGTAAGCCTAAAACAGATGTTTCCTGAAAAGTTATCCCTAAATTCTGATTGGTTAATTGGAATGTTGTTCCAGGATCAACAAGGATGTTGATCCAGGAACATGTTGTACTTGGTGAAATCACGGTCACCATTCTGATTTACCTCTGAATATTCTAATTTACTTCTATATATTCAGAATTATAACTATATATTCTGATTTACCTCTATATATTCTGATTTACTTCTATATATACTGTTGGCATATATTTATTTTTATTATACTAAATGACGGTAGGTAGATTTCTAATAGAATGTGAGTTATGAACGAAAATAAAATGTTGCAATTACCCTCTATCTTCTCTATATTGTACCTTATTTATAACAGAGAATAAATTTTTATGTTTATTATGAATTAGAATACTGCTATTCAAGTTGAAGCAATTGAATAGAAGACTGGAAACAAGGGCATTTGTTCTTGAAACATTTCTGCAAAAGAAAAGTAGTGTAAATTGTTTGTAAAGCCATTCTTATACAAATTGCCACATTGAATTGAAAAAGACAGTATTCAGTGCGGTAAAATGGTTTTATGAACAATTTACACGGAACAATTTGCATGTGTTTCATGAATAAGACCCAAGGTTCTGAAGAATTCTCATTTGTATGTCCTGTTACGGCCTATTTGATAGTATTAAACAGCATGGGAATGCGAAATATTCATAAAATTTTGCAACAACTATTTGCAGAGTTTTCTGAAAATGCCATTTTCCGTTTAGACATTCAAACAAATAGAAAATCGATCTAGCCTCCAAATAAAAAACTATTACTGCAGAGAAGCTCATAGACATGCGTCATTTCATTTAAAATCTAGCTGTGCTGCCTTTTTCATGCTGAGAATGCAGATTTGGTGTAAGTAGGTCTTCTGCGTGATGTTGTTTTTGCTCATTGTTTGTATGGAGTGCTGTAACTTTTCCCTTCATTGCTCTTTTGACCCCAGTACAAATGAATTCAAATACCCTGCGTGCTTAGCAAATGACATGTTAAGCCAGTGTAACAGTACATGTGGATGGAAATGTGTGTTCTTCCCTGTGGGTGTGAGGGCAGGAATATGAGCAGTCTGCTGCAATTGCTGTGCTAGGCACAGCTGTCAACTTACATACCTGTTAATTATTCTCTGTGCAACATGTCGAAAAACACCTCTAAAGGGCTTGGATGGAGTGCACGTCAGCTTATTCCTGCTCTCAATTCATGCTGCGTTCTATCAGTTCATGGATGCATCTGGAAGTTTCTCTAGGGTTCGATGCAGTTTTTACAGAGTGGATAGCACAGCTTTTAGCTAGCCTGAGGCTACTTTCCAAGATCAAATGCAGCGCTAATGCTTGTCTTCACAACTTTGAGATGGTCTTTTAAAGTAGTGTTATCTCCCACAATGACATTTTAAGTTTTAGATCGATGGGTTCTGAGAAGTCATTGCCCGCCAATGTGAAAACTACAATCAGCTTTAATAATCAAGTGTGAAATCGCCTTTCGCTTGGGAGGGACTGCATTAGACATTGTACTCTGGGTTTTCGGAGCTCTCAAGAGACAAATTAGATAGATCCATCCAAAAACTACTGCCCGTGAACTTAAAGCATGTTCTATTTGTATTGATCCAAGGGCTGAACCAATCCTTCACAGAATCAAAGAGGACAGAACCCGGGTCATCTCGCCGTCATTCGACAACATCAAATACGACACGTTTGAGATCGAAGAGTACCCCCTCTCTGCTCAAGGGTTCGACTGGGAACTTTGGTGCCGCTATATAAACCCTCCCAAATCCTGGTGGACGCAGAACAATCAAACTGCACCAATCAGGTAATCACGCAAGATATGACCAGCATCAGCTCAGTGGTTTTACAAAAAACACAAAGACAAATACAGAATTCCCTTAGAGTGAACTACATATGCTAAGCAATAACCAAAAATATTTTTTGTAAAATATCTGAATGCTTTTTTCGATGACCATTATTAATTAACATGAATAGATATATTTAATTACATGTTGGAATATTACTGTGTGGGATAACACATAGGACATATGCAGGTCTTAAACTTGAAATATACATCACAGTAACAGTTCCTGGTTCATTTCGATTAAGGCATAACCGTACACTGACTCATGGTTCAGTGAGGGAGTCAGTTGTGAATGGCTCTGAGTGAGTCTGATTCAAATCGCTAGCTCAGTTCAAGACTGACTTAAAAAAACTGATTCTTGAGAATCATTTGACAGTGAATTGGACACTTTGGTTTGCAGTGTGTTCGTTGACATGAGCAGGAAAAACCGGCGCGTAATCTAATCTGACTTAGGCATTTACTAACACAACATTGTGTAAAGATAGCTGATGAAGCTGCATTCATAAACAAGTTTGAGACTGATTCATGAATCTTTTTGATTTACTCACTTAAAAAGAACTGTTTCTTAAGAATCATTTGGCAGCAAATCAGACATTCCAACCTGTGATGTGTTCGATGTTGAGTGCAGGAAACACAGACGCACAATTTAAACTAACTAAAAGTAGGGCTGAACGATTTTGGAAAATAATCTAATTGCGATTTTTTTTTACCAATATTGCGATTGCGATTTAATATGCAATTATTTTTTAAAGCTCTTTATGTTCTGTATTATTCAACAAAGACAAGCTATATCATTGTATAGTATGACCAACACACTATTAGATAGATTAAACATAAATGTTCTTTTCTGTAGGCCAGGCCTATATGTTATGATGAAATTAGGTGATGCATGAATTTATATGAATGACATTTTTATTTAACGACTACAATCACAGTAGTACGCCATACTTTGATGTCATACACCGATCTGATCTTCAAGTCGAAAACACCTCTTTACTCTCGCGTGTCATGTGACCAAGTGTAATCGCAGCCTCTGCGATTGAAAAATTGTGTTTTTTTCATATCGCGATATTATCGCAAATGCAATTAATCGTTCAGCCCTAACTAAAAGTTAGTAAGGAACTAACGCCACATTGTGAGATAATATCTGATGAAACCGCATTCACAGGCAAGTTCAAGGCTGATTTATTAATCTTTTTGATTGACTCACTGAAAAAGAATAATTTCTTAATAATCATTTGATGGTTTGCAGTTTGTTCATTTTCATGTGCTGGAATAACCAGCATGCAGTCCAAACTGACTTAGCAAGTAACTAACACCACATTGTGTAAAGATCATTCACAAGCAAGTTTGAGACTGATTCATGAATATTTTTGATTGACTCACTTAAAAAGAACTGTTTCCTAAGAATCATTTGGCAGCAAATCAGACATTCCAGCTTGTGATGTGTTCATTTCAAGTGCAGGAAACACGGGCACACTTAGGAAGTAACCTCCACTTCGCGAAAAGATATCTTTACTGCATTCACAAACGAGTTTATGATTGATACATTAAACTTTTTGAGTGACTCCTTTAAATAGAAGCAGTTCTTGAGAATCATTTGATGTCTGCGCCGATAGCCTTGTAAAGGCAAAACATGCCAAAAAATATATATATATAAAAAAAAAGAGCCATGGGGTGACACACTGTTGTATTGTAAGTGCTGTAAATTATTCTTGCAAATGTGTACTTTTTGTCACATTTGCGACTATTTCAGTCGTAGTTTAGAGCCCTGACAGATACAAATCAGTCTCCTTGCCTGCTTAATAACTTGTGTCCTTTGTGTTCAATGACTCAAGAAACTGTCTCAGCCTGTATACAATATTATTAATGTAGTAAAATACATTCTTGTAAGTCATTTAACCTCATTGTTGCCATGTGTATCTCCTCTCTCTCAACAGGAGCCCCGCTCTGATCGGCTGCTTTGTAGTGGATCGGGAGTATTTTGAGGAGATTGGTCTGCTGGATGAAGGGATGGAAGTTTATGGAGGCGAAAACGTGGAGCTGGGGATCAGGGTAAGAGATATTCATACTGCCGACGAGAGTTTTGAAAGTGCAGCAGGAGACAGGATGTCTGGAGTTTAAACAGATGAGCAGACGCGCGTCAATGAATAATGCTGTTTCATTTGATGAAAAGATGCTTTATGCAGGTTGTTCTTTGAGGGCAGATGGATATGTGGAGGTTTGCAGCCTCTGGTTACAGATAGACCTGTGTGTGTGTGTGTGTGTGTGTGTCATCGCACACAATTAAAGTAGAGCTCTCTGCACCTCGCTAATGATAACCTGCCAAACATACTTCTCGCTCCAAACTGGCGGGGTCCTAACCTCTCACTATTACACATGTACAGAGCCCCATCAAGACCTCTGCCGACTCCCATCAGACCCAGCAGCCCTGTAATTAGCCTCCACAGCCAGAATTCAAGCCCAGGCTGTGAATGGAGCTCGCCACAGCAGATACACAGTCACTTGCTCTCACTGTGATTTGGCCTAGCAAAGTTGCAATCACTCCACGCAGGGTGCACCTTGACAATACCGAGCAGATCAAACCCTCCATTACACGCACAGATTTTTTTCTGTTTCATCACTAAGGGCCTCAGTGAGGAGAGAGGAAATGAAAATGTCTCAGGAAGTGGCAGGCACCATGTGTGTGGTGGGATTTGGTACTTCGTGGAGATAATGGCCCTCAACATCTGTTCACACAGCTGTGTCTCTACTGCCTAATTCCACACTCTCATCTTCTGAGCTCCTTTGTGCCCCTCACATCGCACAAATGTTGCAATCCTGCAGATGTTGCCAAAAAAGGAAGAAAACAAAGCACAAAGTTTGTCCATCTTTCTGCAGCAGCGTTTTGGAGGTCTGTAGCTCAGGCATTATATTAAGATACATTTTCATTGTGATTTGGTTGCATTTTTAGTCAACAGAAACTATATGCTCTGCAAAAAAAAAAAATGTATTGTATTATTAGAGTGAAAATACCTAAAAAACAATACATTTTATTGATACATATATTTTTTTATTTACGTGTTATACATTTTATATACAATAAATGACTATTTTTCTAGTAAATTTTATTTCTTAGATGTTTAAGTATTTTTGCAACAACAAAAAAATTAAATCCAACGAGACTGATTGATCTGTTGATTGATATTTGCATTGTAGATATTTTACATTTTCGTGGTATTTTTTGATGACAAGATCTTAAATGTGAGTCTTGCGTTTTTAGTCTATTTAGGTCACTGAAAAAATTATTTTTTAATCAGTGTTTTATCTTGTTGCCAGTGAAAATACCTAAAACAGATCAAATGAATTGAGAAGCATCTTGCATCTAATTTTTAAGCCTTGTTTTCAGAGATTATATTCAGAGGCTATTTTAAATATTATGATGCTATAATAATGTAATATAATAATCATCATCATCATCATGATTAAGAAATTGCTTTTTTGTAATGTAACTTCTATACTGCAGTTATTTTTTGCAGATATTTTGATGGACAGTTTTGTAAGATTGCACCTTGTCAGTCAAACTCACGCTGGAGGCACTGTCGCAAAAGAAAATTTCCCGTTTTGCTGACCCTCATTGACATTGTGTTGACGGGAGCTATTTTTCGCTTTGAAAGAGGGTACATGCTCAATAAAAGGTCAACACATCTGTGCTCTTCTATTTTTAGCTCTCGCTAAAGGGCTTTGCTTATCAGTGATGGAGAATGAAAACTGTCTTTGATCATGTCAGATGTCAGCTTGGTTTATTTGCAATCTGTTGTGGTTCCAGGTAAAGAATAATGACTTTGTCAGTAATGCCCCTTTGGTGACATACTTATTGGTGGTTAATTCGGTCAAGGTAGGGGACCGTTAAATAAAATTGAGAGCCCTATACAAATGATGCATCATAGTAAAATTGATGCGCCAAAAATATTTTCCTCATCAATATTTTATATTTTTATATTTTATATATCCCTTTTTCCAGTAAAAATATCTAAATGTCCTTACAAAAATTAAATATATTTTTTTTATTTAGTATTAATAATAATAATAATAATAATAATGCTGGGTGGAAAACATATTTCATGATAAATTATATGAAAAAATATATTAATAATAATAATTGTTATTATTTTTATTATTATTATAGCATTATAATATTAGTAATTAAAAATAATGATATTTTCAGAAAACATGGAATGAAATTAATATTTTCCCCAGTGTTAATTTTGTTATTATTATTCGATTTTTTTGTTTTAAGAATAGAACAAGAATCGTTTGTATACATTTCAATTAGAGATTATTTATAACATTTTGTGAGGTTTAAATTATTAAAACAATAAAGAAGTAAATTTAGTACATTTTATTGCTTAGATGTTTCGATTTCGAACAAAAACACAGATAAAATGATTTTTTCATTGTAGATCACTCTCGGTGGTGTTTTTTGGAAAGCGACCAAGTCTTAAATGTCTCCCAGACAATATAAAGCTGGTTTGATTCTCATTTCATGCTTGCGAAATGTGCTTCTGTGCGACAGATTACGGTTTGAATATCTCTGTCTGCAGCAGGTATTGTATGCAAATGATTTTTTAGTGCTTCGGGAGAACAGACGGCTCAGTCATGGATCATTGGGATTGTTGTCATTGATTATGCATATGAATCATTCTCCTGGCAAATAGGAACAACACACATCTGGCCACTTCCTGTTGAATCCCTCCCAACGTGTCAGCGTTAAAAGCCTGCCAAACAAGCAGATCAGAATGAATATGATCCCCCCTTCCCATTCAAACAAGTAATCAGATAGAAAATACACCACCAGGTTCTCATGAAACCATTTGTTAGTCTAATGCAAACTGAATGCTTTTAAATATACAGTTCAGTTGCACTGAAACGACCCTGACATATGCCTCAACCAGATGTTGCACTTCATATTTCACCAAACCAGGCCTGAACGAAAGTGTTTGGGTGTGAATGTCTGGATGACGTTCAGCACGCTGGAATGTGGCCTATATAATCTCCTGTGAAGATTTACTACAGAGATACTCTCGCTTTAAAAACTCTGCAGGGGTGCAGTGGGTTGGAAAAACCAAGAAAATCTATTTTTGAGCAGCATAATGTGCTAATTGAGGGTAAATCACTGAATGAACGTGTATTACATGAAACCACTGTAGGAAAACCGCAGCGTTTTGTGATTTTTCTCCCATCTTTACTGACACACCAGGCGGTGACTGTGCTGTTAAAGAGGTTGTATGGTGTGATTTCATGTTTTCCTTTCTCTTTGGAGTGTTACAAGCTGTTCGTGCATATATAAGATCCATAAAGTCGCAAAGATTAAAGTCTCAAACCCAGAGATATATTCTTTCTAAAAGTTAAGACTAAACCACCCCTTCCTAAAACACCTCATTTAAACACGCCCCACATGTCTACGTCACTGTGTGGGAAGATTTGCATAACACCACCCAAATGTAAACGCAAAGAAAGAAGGCGTAACTTTTATTCATGCTGTAGTATTGTTGCTGCCGCCGCCATGTCGTGGAGACACTGTGTGTTTCCAATTATGGTAAGGGGCGTAACATTTCCGTCACAAGCTTGAGGTATTCGGCCAATCACAACGCACTGGATAGCTGGCCAATCAGAGCACACCTCGCTTTTCAGACCGATTAGCTTTGTAAAAATCGACGTGTTTCAGAAAGGCGGGGCATAGAGGAGAAACAATAATGTACGGTATGTGGAAAATAATGTGTTTTTTTAACCTTAAACCTTGAAAAAACATTGCATTACACCAAATACACAAAATAATGTTCTTTTTAGCAACGTCATATGACCCCTTTTCATTGAAAATTATCAGCAAAAAATAATTTCATGTCACTTTTTATATCATCTGGACTTGAGTAAAACATATTCAAAGGAATTTTTGTAATATTTGTTATATTTTGGATTTTATGAGTTGTATCTCCCAGGATACGTTGCCCTGTTAGGGTATAAAAACAGCCCAAGTCATCAATAATTCTATGATTTATTTGATGCAAACAAATATGTAATATTCAAAATATGCTGCATGTATGACATGTCTAAGTTTCCTAAAATTGAGACGCAGACATTTCTTGTATTTTTATATTTCTGAACTGTCCCGTCTTCAGTCTCAGGGGTGGCCAATTGCACCCCTTGAGGTCCACCGTCCTGCACAGTTTAGCTCCATCCCTAAACAATCATATAATGTATATATATTTTTTATGTATTCCTGAAGACTTTTGTTAGATTTTTCAGATATGTTTGATCAGGTTTGGAGCTAAGTGCTGCAGGATGGTGGCCCTCCAGGAGCAGGGCTGGACAACCCTGTTCTACCATAAAATGAGCTGTGTGAAACCCTGCAAGAAAAAAACATCTAGTTAAAAATGCAAAGATTTAGTCAACTAAATGTAATATTATCAGTTTTACATGTAAATATTAACATTTACACAATTTTTAAACTCAAAATAATCAGAAAGGGGACTGTGTACAGGGGGCCCAGAGACCAGGAATGCCTATAAGGCTCTTCTCTAAGGGCCCCTGGCCCCAGAATGCGATTTCTACTGAGGGGTATCCGCTCCCCTTGATGCGATTCATAATCCCCATCCACACCCCACCCCACCCCTCTGAAAGATTTATTATTAAGGGGCTCCCCCTTGTATTTTATGTGATTTCTGTGATTACTGTGTATGTTCTGTGTATTTTCTACACCCCCCATAACCACCAAGGGGGAACGCCAAACCCCCTCAAAACACCCCACCCCACCCCTCACACACACACCACCCCATACCACCCCAGAATTCACAATAATGAAATAACCAGAACTGGGGGCACAATTTACCTTGTTGACACCATTCATTGTCAATATTGAGGATAATCCTTTTTTTTATACCCTAATCAGGCAACGTATCTCAGGGGATACGCATATTTCAAAATGCGATAAAAAACAACACGAACGACATATCAACATCTCAAGACAATGTTCACAATTAATACTAACAGTTGTATTGCATTTTTTTGCTGAGAAACGTAAGATTAATATATGCCTACTTTTTACATTTTCAGAATGTCCAGCCACATGGGCTTTAGATCAAACTGACAAAACAAGCACAGAAAATTTGAACCAAGTCATGTGACCCCCATATTCCAAACAACCTCCACTGTGATAAAGATAACAGTATTGGATGAAAAATTCTTCCTCGTGCCTCGTACAAGAGACTAAAGAATATGTATCCCGTGGTGCATGTTGCCTGTTTTAGAGTTGAATTGCTCAATGTCAGCCACGTTTTAGGCAAATATGTTGAATAATAACAAATTATATGGCCTGTTAGCGCTTTCAAATAAATTCTCCTTACCATGTGGTAAAAAGTCCCTATATTGTTTTGTTAACGAAGAGCCGATTTAGGAGTTTATTTTGAACAAAGAGCTCCACTGTGAGGAAATTAGTAACCTTCAGACAGTTGATAATTATAGAAAATGAGCCTCCTTGATTTGAAGTGTATTGTTTAGCTTATTTGTTCAACAAAGCCTTTTATTTTAATAAAGTACAGTACTTTTTGTTCCTCATGGGGATTTGATTTATGTGTTGTGGGTTATTCTGTTATATGACTCACATACTCCCTAATGACTCACAAGAACTGTTTTTGTGGACTGCCTAATGGATGTTAAAGGGCATTTTCGAGAGCTAATTTTTCTTCATCCTTGTCCAAATTCAAAACACGAGACATTCATGTGTGTAATCAGGTGTGGCTGTGCGGAGGAAGCGTGGAGGTCATGCCCTGTTCCAGAATAGCTCATATTGAGCGTGCCCACAAGCCCTACACAGAGGACCTGGCAACTCACGTCCGCAGGAACGCCTTGAGAGTGGCTGAGGTGTGGATGGATGAGCTCAAGAGCCACGTTTATATGGCCTGGAACGTTCCACAACAGGTACTACACCTCTCACTCGCACTTTATATGAGTAGTTGAAGCTCTAAATTCTGATTGGATTGAAATCCGGGCTTCAGAATTTTACTTATACCAGGAAATAAATAGTAGTTCATGATAGTTTTTAGAATTGTGATATTAAAGGAAAATTAATTAAAATGAACTACATTTGACATAAAATCAACAAGAAATATTTACAAATCTCTACATTTCTAAATAAACAAATTTGTAACACCGACTGTGAACTCCTTCACAAAAATGATCATATTTACTTTCAAGATGATATTTTTATTCAAATTATATTATTCATTAATTTTTTTCACTGAATTTTAAGATAAATTGTCATTTAAAAATTATAAAATGCTGTTCAAAAGTTTGGGGTCTGTAAATTGTTTTTAAGTTTTTGAAAAAAGTCCCTTATGTTTACTAATGCTACATTTATTTGAAAATATACAATAAAAAACAGTAATATTGTAAAATATTATTATCATTTAAAACAACTGTTTTCTATTTTAATATATTTTCAAATGTAGTTAGTTCCTGTGATGCAAAGCTGAATTTTCAGCATCATTACTCCAGTCTTCAGTGTCACATGATCCAAATCATCAATATGCTGATTTGCTGCTCAAGAAACATTTATTATTATCAATGTTGAAAACAGTTGTGCGGCTTAATATTTTTGTGGAAGGATTCTTGGATAAATCAAAAGATCAAAAGAACAGCATTTATATAAATGTCTTTTCTGCCATTTTGGATCAATTTAATGAATCCCTGCTGAATAAAAGTATCAGTTTCTTTCTAATAGAAAAGTTTGACTGTTTTACTGACCCCAACCTTTTAAATAGTATTGTATAAATTAAATAAATAAAAAATGCTAAATAGAGGAATTTCCACTTGAGGTCTCAGATATGTATTTGTATATCAATATGCTAAATAGTATAAGTAGCCTACAGTTAAATGTAACTATCCTTTGCACATTAGAGATTTTATCATATTTCAGCTGTCACTGTTTTATGAAATGAAAAAGCCACTGAAAGCCAGTCTCTGCTGTGTTTTTAACCATGGTTAAAGGCGTGGTGTTGTACCTAACACCATACTTTAACCCTGGCAGATTTTCTGTAATACACAGCCTTGAGTGGCTTTCAGTTCTATATTAGTACATGAATGTGATGGAAGTTAAAGGATACATGCCGCTTCGTCATTTTAAGTTAAGATGTAATGGGCTGAAATGCAATGACTATGACTTATTTAAGCTAGTCATTAGGGCTTCTTAATGAGCTCTCACTTTAGTGCCGTACTGTAATGTGGGGTTTGGTGTTTGGGTTTTGTTTCATGTTCATGTTTTCCCATGTCTTTTATTTTGTAATTGTTTTCTGCTGTTAGTGTCATGCTTCCTTTGCCCTCTTGTCTTCATGCCATTGGTTCCTCTGTTCATTGTCATGTTCTGATTGGTTGTCTTAGTCATGTGTCTTGTTTCCCATTGGTTTGTTCATGTCATGTGACCCTCCTTTTCTGATATAAGTAGCCATCATGTTCCCATAGTCTTCGTCATGTATTGATGTTGTAACCTGCTGTCGGTGAGTCTTGTCTGTTCATGCCACGTCGAGTCTGTTCATGTCAAGTCTGTTTCATGCATCGTCAAGTTAAGTCAAGTCTGTTCATGTCAAGTCAAGTCTCGGATTATTGTTTGGATGTTTGGATCACACTGTAAATAAACTGCACTTGGGTTCTTCACTACGCTCACCTTCAGTGGACTAACTCGTTACAGAATACACGACCCCAGCAAAATGAACCCAGCAGTTTCACGTCTCCTCTGCCTGCGTCAGGGCGGCCGGGCTATAGAGGAGTATGTGGCCGATTTTTGTGAGGTATGTCACTTTGTGGATTTTAATAGCCTGCTCACATCATGCTAGTTACTCAGGAGATTCTTTACAATATGGCCACCATTGAAGAGCTTCATCGCAAGATGGCCGCCACACAAGAGTCTCTTCACAAAATGGCCGCCCTTCTAGAGTCTCATCACGTC